AGGGGTGGGGGAGGAGGAGACAGCAGGACCCCAGTGAGGGGTGGGGGGGGGGGAGACAGCGGGACCCCAGTGAGGGGGGGGGGGGGAGGAGACAGCGGGACCCCAGTGAGGGGTGGGGGGGGAGGAGACAGCGGGACTCCAGTGAGGGGTGGCGGGGGAGAAGACAGCGGGACCCCAGCACTGTCGTGGCTGGCTGCAGCCTCCTCTGTGCTCATCTGCAGGGTGGCGGGGATGAGAGCCCCACCCCAGCACTGAGCGTGGGGAGGCCGCCTACCCACAGCCATCCCCCCCGCCCCGAGGCAAGGTGGGCCCCAGCTGTGTGACCCTGGGCACTGCTGGCCCTGAGGTCATCCTTGTACCATGGGAACCCGGCGCCCACCTCCTGCGACCAAACAGAACCCACCAGACCATGCCTGGGACCCCCAGCAGGGGAATGGGCGCGTTCACGAGGGTGGGGGCTGCTCTCCTGCGGCTCTGAGGCGGGTGTGGACCTGGAGGTAGAGCTCTGAGCGGACGCACCCCTGAACCTAGCAGCCACAAAGGCACTGGCCGCCTCAGGGGCCTGCACCAGCCCGCAGGGTCCCTGGTCACCCGCCACTGCTGCCGTCAACCCAAACGTCCCGTCCCGCGCCCCCACTACAGGAGGTTCACCGTGGCCACCACCTGCTTGCAGCCGGTCACAGCAAACTCGCGGCCAGCCACTTGGTAGAAGCTGAGCTGCGCGGCCAGACGCTCCGCGCGGGCCTGATCGGGAAAGAAGCCCTCGCCCGCCATCTCGTCGCGGAAGCAGCTGACCACGTCCCGCTTGTCCAGCAGCAGAAACGGCACGACGGCCGCGGCCTGCCACAGCGGGTGCTCCCGGGACAGCAGTGCCTGCAGGCTGGCGCGCAAGTCCTCGTGCGTCTGGGTCTGGGCACTGCGGGCGCCGTCGGGGCGCAGGGGCAGCGCGCGGGACGCGTTCTGCAGCACGAAGCGCGTGACCTCGCTGCCGCCCGCGCCGCTGAGGAGCACGTAGATGGCGCTGTGGAAGGGGTGCGGGCGCTGCGGCTGCAGGAAGCCGTGCAGCTCGTCCAGCAGCGGCCGCGGCATGAGCTCCGCGTCGTCCAGCACCAGGAGCGGCGTCTTTTCCTCCGCCTCGGCCCGCACCACCACGTCGGCCACGCGCCGCGCCAGCTCCTCGCGGCAGTCCTGTGCGGCGCGCGCCTCGGGGCAGTGGTGCCGCGCGTGGTACTGCAGCACAAGCGCGCCGTCCTCCAACACCGCGCGGAAGTGGCGCGCCAGCAGGCGGCCCACGTGGCTCTTGCCCACGCCACTGGGCCCGTGCAGCGCCAGGAGGAGCGGACGACTGTGCACGTGCGTGGCCAGGTAGTCCCGCATCAGCGCCACGATGCGCCCCACGGCGGCGGGCTGGCCGAACACCGAGCGCTGCAGCGTCTTCTCCAGCCCGTCAAGGTCATAGCGTTGCGCGTTGTCGTCCAGGTTCTCGATGGCGTTGAGCACCTGGAAGCCCACGATGGCGACCAGCAGCAGCAGGCAGCGCTGCGCGCGGCTCCTGTGCTCCACGCGCGGCCGAAACTTGCGCGAGGTCTCCGGGTAAAGCACCAAGCGGCTGCGCCGGCGCCTCTTGCGTGGCGTCCTGGAGGACAGCTCCGCAGGGCCGTCGAAGGTGAAGAACTGCGGCTGGTCAGTATCCGCGCGCGGCGCCGGGGAGCTGCAGCCGGGCCTGGGCGCCCCGGTCCCGACATCGGGCCCCCCACCCGGCTGCAGGAGGCGCCGCTTGCGCAGGACACACACCCGGCGGCGCAGGCGGAGCACGGCGCGCACGGGCGCGATCACGCACCGGCCCGAGGTTCCAGGGGCCGCGGCAGCAGGCTCCAGGCTGGGCGGGCCGCGGTCCATGGCGCAGGAACGGCGCTCCGCATACAGGTCGCCCTCCCTGCAACGGGAAGACAGGGAGGGTCTCCGGACTCCCGCCACCGCCCTCTCCCGCGCGAACCGTTCCCGGGAGTGACCTTACCCCTGGGAGTCCCGCGGGGTGCGGCCTGGGCTGCCCCAGGGCCACGGCCAGGGCTTGGTCGCAGCCTCGCCCCTCCGACGGGGAAGCGGCCCTTCCGTGGGGCCCCGATGCAAATCTCTCGGGTCCTCCCATAAATGGCCTCGAGCCTTGAGGAAGTGGAGGGCTAGAGGCTTATCTAGTGGCCGCCCCGGCTTCCTGGAGGAGGAGTCGAAGGAGTCAGTGGCCGACCAGGCGCCCACTGGGGTGAAGAACGGTCACACCGGCCCCTGCCCCCGCCCGCCGCTCCGACTGGACTGGGCCGTCTCCCAAGGAGGGGCCGCGGGAAGCAGAGGCCTGAGCGCCCCGGAGTTCAGAAGCGCCCCCACACGCTCCCGAACACTTGTTGGGGGTCTGGCCGGAACTTACGATTTTGAGAACAGGCCCAGCCCCGTCCCCAGGCTCAGCCCAGGCCTCCCAGCCCCGCTCCAGAACTGGGGTCCTCCCCACAGCCCTCCAGTGAAGCAGCAGAGGAGCACGGGAACCCCGAGACCGGTGGAGGTGAGGTGAAAGGATGGGCAGAAACAAGAGCCGGGGCGGAGCAAGAGCCGCTGACTGGCAGCAACTGGCCTGGGCCCTGGGCCCCCGCCCACCCCTACCTGCAGCTGGTCCACTGCCCCCAGCTCTGCCGCCCCCGCCTGTGCCGGACGCCGGGGCCTAAGACTCCGGGCAGGAAATGCACCTCCCAGGGCGAGGGGGTGGCCAGGGGCTTCCGGGGCCGGCTCCGGCCCGAGGGGCAGCGACACCTGCGGGTCCCCAGGGAGCGGCCAGAGCAGAGGAAGCTCCAGGGAGGTTTCCGCTTCTATGCAAAGGAAGTAGTGAGTCAGGGGGTGCGGCCCAGGCGGGACTTGGGCCGGACGGAGGCACCAAAGGGGGAGGCCTGGCCAGCTCTCGCGGATCCCCTGCCGGAGGTCACATCCCCTCTTCAGCCCTCCGGCACTCAGAGCCCTCCTGGCTTGGTCAGGCTCAGGACACCTGGTGAAGCCGAGGGCCCCTCCTGCAAGCCCTGTCCCACCCTGGGCTCCTGCACCTCAGCCTGTCCTCCAGGGCCCCCACCTCCCCCCCGCACATCCCTTCCACCTGACACCGCCACGCCGGGCCTACAGCTGGAGGGGAGGGGCTCCAGCAGGGCAGCAGCAGCGAGGGCGGGCAGGTCCTCTGCCAGGCTTTGTGCCCCCATCCCTCTCTTATCCTCTCCCCTTTTTCCTTCCCCTCCTGACCCCAATCTGGAGCCCCCAGAGGGAGCTCATTTTCCTTCCCTTCCCCCTTCCTCTGTCCCCAGCCTGGAGCCCCCCGCCCAGACAGGCAGCACACACTGGGACAGAAGTTCTGTCACGGAAAAAAACCACATGTGGCTCAGGGTCCCTGTGGGGGTTGGGCAACAAATTTAGAAAGAACTTGGGCCAGGAGCCAGGAGCCAGAGCTCCGGCCCTTCCCCTGGCCACAGGGCTGCTCCCTCCAACAGGCCGGCCACGACCAGCCTTGACTCCTCCCACCCTGGCCCAGCCTGGAAGCTGCCTTCCCAGGAGGGACACGGTGGCCACTCAGCCACACCAGTGCTGTGGGCCTTCATCTTAGGTCCCACAGTCCCAGGGACGCCCCACTCCCCACGACGGCCAGCCTGGGCCTCATGGGTTCCCGCTGTGTATTCTTCATCCAAAGCGAGCGCATCAGGAAACATGGGTTGTGGGCTGGGGTTTCCATTCTCTCCAGGGCATGGGGTCCACGGGCCTGTCACGCTCCCCGCCAGGAGCCAGGCCTGGGATTCAGGAACCTGCTGCCCCTCCCCTGTGCAGGGGGTACGGGGGCCCCATCCCTGATTGTCGAGGCCGAGGGTGTGGCACATGCCATGTGGAACGCCCATGCTCTTCTCCGGCCGGCGGCCCTCACTCCAGCCTCTGTGGGACCAGAGCGGAAGAAGGTTGGCTGTTCAGGCCCTGTGGCCCCAGCACGGAGGTTGGGGTCCTTTGGGGGCCTCCGGCTTTGAGTCTCGGTGCTGCTTCTGACACAGGGAGGACCCTGAGGGAGAGCTGAAGGCTGGCTGGGCCCTGGAAGTCCTGCAGCAACCCTCAGCCCTCCTCCAAGCCACCAAGGCTGGAGCTGCTGCTGCCAAAGGCTGGCCCAGAAACCCTCAGGCCAGAGCCCTCTGCAGAAAAGAGACTCGCCCAAGGGGTGCCCCAGGACCCAGCCCTGAGGCTCAAAGGTGAATCGGAGCCCTGGGCCAAGGCCTCCCCTGACCTGTACTTTCTCCCTTCTACAGGGATGAAGGGAGCCCCAGAACCCCAGCCCCCAGTGCCATCACCATCTCCTGTGACCCCATTCCAGGAAGCCCCTCCTCCCACCTCCCTACCCAGCTCGGCCCTGCTGCTTCACCTGCATGTTCTCTGCTTCTGGAAGGGCTTCCCTCACTGCTTCCCCAAGCTGCTGGCGCCCTCCCCACTCTCCTCCCAATTCCCCACAGGTGCTCCCCTCACGAGAGGACGCCCCCCCGCCAGGGCCCTCCATCCCCCCCCCCGGGCCTTTCCCCTCACTTCCCAGCGGCGTCCACACCCAGGCACTCAGGCAGCTCGGCTCTTCCTGCCCTGATGTCACTGCAGTCACCACCGTCCCGAGGCTCAGCCGTCCACCTCCAGCACCTTCCTGCGGCTCACACCCCTCACCTCACCAGCTCCTCACCCACAGGCGCCTCAGTCTCTGTCCCTCCCTCCCCACCCATAGGCCTTGCACCCCCCGCAGGTGCCCTGGGCAGGACTTGCCCACTGCCGACACCACAGCCGGCATCCGAGTCCCTTCACCGCAGCCAAGTCCTCGCCAGCTCCTCCCTCTTCTGCCTCCCAGCTGAAGACCTGAGAAAACGGAGGCAGCAGCAAGGGGCTCCCAGCGTCTCCTCGGCGTCCGCCCAGCGTCTGTGCCCACCAGCCCTCTTCTGAGGACGCCCCTCTTGGCCGAGACCCCGCCGCCGCCTCCCTCGGTGATGGCCCAGCCCCAGCCCGCCGTCCACTCCTCACTCTGCTGGGTCAGTCCTATCAGCCCCAAAACATGTACTTCTTTTTTTTTTTTAATTTTTCTTTTTCTTCTTTGGTCCTCAGTGCATTAATCTTCTATCTTAAAAAAAAAAAAAGGGGGGCCAGGCATGGTGCCTCACGCCTGTAATCCCAGCATGTTGGGAGGCTGAGGCAGGTGGATCACGAGGTCAGGAGATCGAGACCAGCCTGCCCAACACAGTGAAACTCTGTCTCTACTAAAAATTAAAAAAAAAAAAATTAGCTGTGTGTGGCAACAGGCACCTGTAGTCCCAGCTACTTGGGAGGCTGAGGCAGAATAACTTAAACCCGGGAGGCAGAGGTTGCAGTGAGCCAAGGTCGCACCGCTGCACCCCCGCCTGGGCGACAGGGGAGCAAGACTGCATCTCAAAAAAGAAAACAAACCCCGCACTGCCGTCCCGACCTTCATCCCATCCGTAGCGCCTCTCGGCTGGGTCTCCCGGCCCCTCCAGTCTCCTGGGCCCCTCCTCCCTGCCAGCTGCCCCCACCCAGAGCACATGGCTGCTCACCCTCACCTGGGCTGATCTGGCCCAGTCAGTAGCTCAAACATCACTAACCACAGCAGCATCCAGACCCACACCCCGGCCTGTCTCTTCAGAGCTCCACACCTCCAAACCCACTGCACATGCCTGCCAGACAGGCCTCTGGAGCACCCCAAGCCCTTGATCTTCCCATGGCAGCCCACCTGGGCAGGTTCAAAGCCCTGGGCCCTCTGAGACGCCTCTGCGGCTCACACCTCCTTCCAAGCTACCTGGAACTCCTCCTGCTCCGCCTCCAGAACATACCCAGGACCCTCGAGCACCACCCACCAGCCAGGCCAGCCCCGGACGCCCAGCCCCACCTGGGTCCCCAGCTCCCACCAGAGCCTTCAGCCTGGGTCTTCTCTGTCTGCCCTGGGCTCTGGGAAAGACATGATTGGGTAAACTGAGGCACAGGTCTGGCAGTGTAGACCATGAGCGCTGTGCAGGTCTGCATAGGTGCGAGAGTCCCAGGCCTCCCTGGCTCTGTCCCCGAGGAGACTGGATCAGAGGCTCCCATACCCACAGGTCCCACTGCTGCCCGGCCAAGCCTCATCTGCTGGGCATGCCCCGGCTCTGACTGGCGCATCCTGGGCTTCCAGGGCTCCTGTCCCTGGTGCACATTGAGGGTGAGGGGTGCCCCCTGGAATCACAGGACAAAGACAAATCAGCTGGTCTGCGTCGCAGGGCGCCGAGCCCCTCGGGTGGGGCTTCCTGTCAGCCTCCTCCAGAAATTAATCACCACCCACCGCTGCTGGTCACAGGCACGGCTGAGCAGCCCAGAGGCGCTCTGGCCCATAAGGCCGTGCGGATTGACTCCATAGCAGAACTGCCTGTGTCCACCCGAGCTGTACCCAACCCCAGGGCAGGCACAGAGACACCTCAGCCGCCAGGTTTACCAAAATGCCTTTTATTTACATAAAATCTCACTGTGTGTCCAGCTGGCCCGGTGTCGGCCAGTGAAGGCGGCAATGCCTGGTGAGGAGTGCTGGCTCCACGGGTGAAATGGGCCATGGGGCACCCGGGCTGCAGGGTGAGGTGGCTCCCTCCGCACAGGACCGGGCACGCGCCATGGCACAGGCCTGGCTGCTGCCCCCACATGACTTCCATGAGGTCCCAGCTCCATCTCCACCGCCCCAGGGCAGAAAGCAGTGTGCCTCACCTTTCCCAGGCTGGGCCAAAACACAGGCCCCGCCCCCACCCTCGGGCCCCACCCTCTCCCCTTGGAAAACAGGTGGGTTTTTCCTAACCCAGGAAAAGGGAAGATGAGCTGTGAAAGCACAGGAGAGGCAGGGCCCTGGGAGTCACCGCATGGGTGGCAGGCCAGCCCTGGACCCGGCTCCAGGGAGCAGGAGGGGGGGCTGTGACCACAGGACAGGCCTGGCCACAGCCCCAGGAGCGGGGACTGCCCTGCACACCCAGGTCCGAGAGTCCCTTCCGGCTGACCAGGGCTGGGACTTGGCAGGGCCCCGGCACCAAGCAGCCCTGGGGAAGCCTCAGAGTGGGGCAGGGGCGGGCACACTGGGGAGGGGCAGCTCCAGGGCGGGCGTCTCCGCGGCCTGCGCCGGGCTGGGCTTCCGGTGGTCCAGCTGCTCCAGCTTCTCACCCAGCTGAGAGTAAAGCTCCTTCACAGCCTCTCCACTCTGCGGGGAACCACGGCCATGAAGTAGGCGAGGCGCAGGGGTGGGCGCCCACAGGACCCCGAGGGCAGTGTGGCCGGCACACCCGCAGCTGGGAGCCCCCAGGCACCCACCTGGCCTGTAGGCTCCAGGGCCTTCTGCAAGGCTTCCAGCTTCGCCGGGGCCACCCTGGGGTGCAGGTGAATGAGGAGCCGCAACGCGTGCCGCTGCACGTTCTCCTTCCTGGAAAAGGCCGCCGGCGTTGGGGCGTGAGGAGGCCCTGCTGTCCCCCCAGGCCCGGCCCAGCTGCAGGCGGGGCGAGGCCCCTGGAGACAGCACAGGACCGGCCCCTGGACCATCCTCAGCTGTGCCCAGCAACCCCACCTGCAGACCCCACCCCCAGGAGGGGGACAGCGGCCACCTGAGGCTGTCGCACACAGGAGCAGAGTGGCAGAGCGGGCCTACCTGGGCGAGGCGGTCAGGAAGAAGCCGTCGAAGAGGCTGCTGCAGAAGTCCTCCAGGGCAAAGTCGTCCGCCAGCAGCGCCAGGCTGCCCGTGAGCAGGTGGAGGAAGATGTCGCCGAAGGCCAAGTCGCCGAAGGTCTCCACTGCGGACACAGCGGCATCAGCCCAGCACC